GAGAGAATGCAAGTGTGTGTGTGTGAGAGAGAGAGAATGCATGTGTGTGTGTGAGAGAGAGAATTCATGTGTGTGTGTGTGAGAGAGAGAGAATGCAAGTGTGTGTGTGAGAGAGAGAGAATGCATGTGTGTGTGAGAGAGAGAATTCATGTGTGTGTGTGTGTGAGAGAGAGAGAGAATGCATGTGTGTGTGTGTGAGAGAGAGAATTCATGTGTGTGTGTGTGAGAGAGAGAATGCAAGTGTGAGAGAGAGAGAATGCATGTGTGTGTGTGTGAGAGAGAATGCATGTGTGTGTGTGTGAGACAGAGAATGCTTGTGTGTGTGTGAGAGAGATAGAGAATGCATGTGTGTGTGTGTGTGTGTGTGAGAGAGAGAGAGAGAGAATGCAAGTGTGTGTGTGTGTGTGTGTGTGTGAGAGTGAGAGAATGCACGTGTGTATTTGTGTGAGAGAGAGAGAGAATGCAAGTGTGTGTGTGTGTGAGAGAGAATGCAAGTGTGTGTGTGTGTGAGAGAGAATGCAAGTGTGTGTGTGTGTGAGAGAGAATGCAAGTGTGTGTGTGTGTGAGAGAGAATGCAAGTGTGTGTGTGTGTGAGAGAGAATGCAAGTGTGTGTGTGTGTGAGAGAGAATGCAAGTGTGTGTGTGTGTGAGAGAGAATGCAAGTGTGTGTGTGTGTGAGAGAGAATGCAAGTGTGTGTGTGTGTGAGAGAGAATGCAAGTGTGTGTGTGTGTGAGAGAGAATGCAAGTGTGTGTGTGTGTGAGAGAGAATGCAAGTGTGTGTGTGTGTGAGAGAGAGAGAATGCATGTGTGTGTGTGAGAGAGAGAATGTAAGTGTGTGTGTGTGAGAGAGAATGCAAGTGTGTGTGTGTGTGAGAGAGAGAGAATGCATGTGTGTGTGTGAGAGAGAGACAGAATGCAAGTGTGTGTGTGAGAGAGAGAGAGAATGCAAGTGTGTGAGTGTGAGAGAGAGCAGGTGCCTGTGTTGGGGGAGTGTGTGTGGGAGACTGGGTACCTGAGAGCAGGCCTGCAGAAGGGTGTGGGGAGGGGAGGGGGGGCAAACGGGGCAGCTGTCCCAGGACCCGTGATTTAAAAAGGCTCCCTGGGGTTCCAGCTTCTGCTATTGCCTCTGCAGAAGGAGGCAGCATAGTTTTTCCGGAAAAGCACTGATGATTTTACATGAGATCGTCAGTGCTTTTCCGGAAATTCAAGGGGCCAGTGTAGGCAGCTGGCAAGTTATTCCGGAAAAGCGGCTGACTTTCCAGAATAAGTGGCCAGTGTAGACACAGCCACAATGTTTTTATTTGGCTCCTGCTGTTGCTGCACCTGAGGTGGGTGGAGATTTTGGCATCGCGAGAACATCTCTCAGAGGCCACGATTCACTTTTGCTCTTCCAGGCTACGCAGGAGGAGGCAGCAGGGATCCTGGGAGTCAGCGGGAGGCTGGATACATCTGGGCAGGTCCCAGGGGCCGGCAGACAGTGTTTGGTACCTGGATGAGCAGCAGGTTTCTTAACACCCCAGTCTGTACCCACGAGTCTCTGGTCACTCCCTGCCGGGAGGGCTGCCGTATGAGCCCTGTCCTGGCCTTGCGTATTACTGGTCAGGCCCTCCCTTTGCTCCTCCACTCTTCATCCAGGCAGATCTCTGAGTTGGGGAAACCTCCCCCGAGAACCTGCCGCCTCCTCCGTGGAAGTGGTGGGAAAGGGGCTGCCGGGAACTCCTGGCCGTGTTAGCCCTCCGAGAATGCAAGTGTGTGTGTGAGAGAGAATGCATGTGTGTGTGTGAGAGAGACACAGAATGCAAGTGTGTGTGTGAGAGAGAGAGAGAATGCAAGTGTGTGAGTGTGAGAGAGAGCAGGTGCCTGTGTTGGGGGAGTGTGTGTGGGAGACTGGGTACCTGAGAGCAGGCCTGCAGAAGGGTGTGGGGAGGGGAGGGGGGGCAAACGGGGCAGCTGTCCCAGGACCCGTGATTTAAAAAGGCTCCCTGGGGTTCCAGCTTCTGCTATTGCCTCTGCAGAGGGAGGCAGCATAGTTTTTCCGGAAAAGCACTGATGATTTTACATGAGATCGTCAGTGCTTTTCCGGAAATTCAAGCGGCCACAGTAGACAGCTGGCAAGTTATTCCGGAAAAGCGGCTGACTTTCCAGAATAAGTGGCCAGTGTAGACACAGCCACAATGTTTTTATTTGGCTCCTGCTGTTGCTGCACCTGAGGTGGGTGGAGATTTTGACATCGCGAGAACCTCTCTCAGAGGCCACGATTCACTTTTGCTCTTCCAGGCTACGCAGGAGGAGGCAGCAGGGATCCTGGGAGTCAGCGGGAGGCTGGATACATCTGGGCAGGTCCCAGGGGCCGGCAGACAGTGTTTGGTACCTGGATGAGCAGCAGGTTTCTTAACACCCCAGTCTGTACCCACGAGTCTCTGGTCACTCCCTGCCGGGAGGGCTGCCGTATGAGCCCTGTCCTGGCCTTGCGTATTACTGGTCAGGCCCTCCCTTTGCTCCTCCACTCTTCATCCAGGCAGATCTCTGAGTTGGGGAAACCTCCCCCGAGAACCTGCCGCCTCCTCCGTGGAAGTGGTGGGAAAGGGGCTGCCAGGAACTCCTGGCCGTGTTAGCCCTCCGGGTCATAGAGGAATCCCCTAGTGCAGCGTATCTCCCCCTGGGGGTCCCTGCCCAGACGGGGGTGGCAACGTGAGGGCTGGAGGGTCACTCGCGGGGGCACCGGACGTTTGGGCTTTCCCGGCTGTGGCCTCGTCTTCAGTCCCCAGGTCTCCATCCCGGTGGAGTTTGGAAATAAGAAGAAATGTCCCTGATCTCTCCTGCCCTTCTGAGCTGGGCGGCTGGAGGGGCAGCTGCTCTGTGCCACCCAACCTGGACAGTAGCGGCGCAGACGCTGCTC